GACACAAGCTCTCTTCAATCTCAGGAAAGATCATGGACATGGCCTAGGACATGGCCCTCTTTCAGCATTTTCAGTGGCTGTAATTTATAATTAACACAGCAGCTGTGCTGTGGAACATTCATGGTTTCTAAAAGTCCACATCTTAACTGATTAAGAAGAGAATGCAATGTCTGTCAATCTCATTTTTATAATGACTCTTAGAAGTGGAATTTTCAGGTTAAATATATATAAGATTAATTTGAGGATCTCAGATTTTTCACCTGAAACCTCAGCATAGATTTAGAGACTGGTAGAGGAAGACTGAGTCTGCTCAGATCTATGTGGAGATCTAAAGTCAGAGAGATGGTCCAGGCAGAGGTGTAGGACACCATGGCTTAAAATGGCCTGGTGCAGGCCTCCTCATCCATCAGTAAGTTCTCAGGAAAGCATCACACAGTGTAAGCTGCACAGGAGAGAGCTGGAATGGTTCCAGAGCTCTTCTCTACATGCCTGAGGCCCCATCTCTCACTCAGGGGAGCTCTGTATGAGGTCAGTCTGTTACAGAGCCCAACATAACTGAATGTTTTCCACCCAGGTGCAGATCTGAACTGCCACATTTGGACTCACCATAGTTATGGAGCATGACAGGTGTTTACAGGGAGCAGGTCAGGAGATGGGGACACTGCAGGCAGGTCAGGGTATGAAGCCTTAAATAAGAGACCAGGCCCTCACCAGCCCCAGTTTCCTCCAGCATTAACCAAACCCTGCAAGAGTGTGCATTAAAAACTGAGTAACTGAGTGGAGTTACTCACAAAATTATATATTATAGAGATAGTTTGAAGATACAATATAAATGGAAGTATCCATAAGTAAAATGAGATGTGACCCTTAATGGATATGTGGTGTCCATTGATGTCCCCAGCCACATGCATCAGAAGGAAATAGTCTGATGAACAGAACAATAAGGAGCACAGGCAATGGGTAAAAATCACAGCTTCTTAATAACAACAACAAAGCTGGGATACAAAAAGTGCAATGGTGAATTTTATCCAGTATATAATAAAGAATAAATACTGATTTTTTTTCAGTTCTTTGATGAAGTTGAAGAAAAACCCACCACCAACTTCTTTTAAGTGACAAAGTTAAAGTTATCCTGAGAATGAAGCCAGACAATAATGTGTTAAAAATAATATAAATGAAAACACTCTGTTGGCTAATATTCCTACCAAACATAAACAAAAGTGTTCAGCTAAATGTTTGCAATGTTATCTCACCAACATATTCAAAATTAACCAACATGATCAACACTGGACTCAATCTCAGTGGTGCAAGAATGGTCCCTCTCTAACAAACTGTTTCCACTGGTTTTAACATGTTGTATCTTACTATATTTTACTATATGTGATAGTATAAAGAAAAATTTTATAGGCAAGGAGATAATATAGAAACCATTGTTCGTTTTCTGTTAACTGGTTCTAAATACCCTGTAATTCTTTCATTCTGTTGAATGGTTTCACACTGTCTTGATATGTTTGATGCTATTGTATACGAAGTTATACTCAAATAATTCAAGGAATGAGGCACTATGGTGACTACTATTATGTTAGATTATCTGGGAGTGAAACACAATTATGCTTAAATTGTTCCATTCTGACCAGTGTTGTTCTATTACAATATCCTCTTTTATCTCAATCTCCACACTTTTTTTAAATTAAACGTTTTTTATTTTTTTCAATTAAGGGAAAACTAAATTTAAAAATAGCGGGATATATTATAGTAACTATTAGTTTTCCTATTAATCTGATTTGAACCCCAGTATTGCTCTCCACATCTTGTTCTGTCTGATTTTACTATATTCTATTTTGCTTGATAATATCAAGTTTGAGCGTATAGACAACCACTTTGAAGGCCATAAGATTTATTATGATGGCCCATTATAGTTTGACTATTATCTTCTTTTGAAGTCTTGCAAGGTTTCCAGTGTAGGTTTTTTTGGTCTTGTCCTGTACGGTTTTGATCAATTCTATTATACCTGATGATATAGCAACTCTTTTTAAAAATAGCAAGAGGCACCATGGTAACCATTTTTGATCATCTGATATTCTATTTTTGCATCATGTACTATGCCCATCCTTCTTTTCTAACTGTCTCTGTTTTATTTAGTCATGTTAGGATTTATTCTCTTCAAAAAAATGTAATAAGAACTGTGGGAGTAAAAAAACTCAAAACGTGTAACTGTTATTGTAAAAAAGAGAGGAAAGGAAGGTGGTCTAAGGGATATAACTGCATGCTTGAGTGTGTAGGATGGAAAATCATATTACTGAGCTTTTGTTGGATCACTGAACAGAACCTTCTGCAATCTCACTGTATGAATGCCCACTTTATATGCTTTAATTTTATAATTTGGACAACTGTTTCTAAGATGACTGAAAGGGTTTTGGCCCAGATAGGACACTGTAGCCAGGAAAGCCACAACCGGAAGCAGGAAGCCCCATCTCCCCTGCCCCTAGGAAGTTACCTGTGATGCCATCTTCCCACCCATGGAAATTTACATAGGGCGCCAAACCTAAGACCAATGGACTACCTATGTATCCCTAATGCCCGCCTTAGGTTCCACCCCAAACCAAGCCTATTTACAGGCCCCCATGCCACATGTCCGACAGAGAGATCACTGGACGCCAGCGGTGGGGGTGCCTGTCATCTCTCTCCGTGTTCTCAGAATAAAGGCCACTTTTTATTTTATATTTCTCATCTTTTGTTAATATTTTTCATCTTTTGGAAATAACCCTAGCAATGACAATATGTAACCTATTAACTAGTGATTTCTTACTGTATTTTTTCTTGAAATTCTGTATTACTTGTACCCTTTTACTGCTTTGTTTTTTATTTCCTTTCTTCTCTTTAATTAAACAAATAATCAAACCTGGAATGGATATCTTTTATTTATTTATTTTTTTGGCTCTGGAGATCAAACTCATGACCTCACACTTGACAGGCAGGTGCCTTAAGCCACTGAGCTAAATCCCCAGCCCACCAATGGATATCTTTTACACCTTGTCATCTTCAGAGTAGTTGCCTCTGCTCTTGAACTTGATACCAGCAAGCATATCAAATGTGAATAAAATCAGTCAAGGCCAAATAACATTGAAACAATCCAGCTTCAAAGAAGATCAGTCATAGAAGACAATGTAAGTAATATAGGGATTCAGTTTTAGTTAATAGGAAATTAAGGATAATTACCATGGTATAACCTGCTATTTTTGGGTTATCTCTCTGTGCCCTCAAATCTAATATGAGTAGACAGACCAGAACAAAATATAACCAAACTATACAGAGCAACAAGACTACTGTAGCTTTTAAATCCTGATACACTTTTAACTATGTCCTCTGCCTTCTTTTTTTAGGCAATTCCTCACCTTTCTCCTTCTCAGGATACTATTATTCACTGTTCAGAGTGATATTAGTCTAGTCTCTTATGTTCCATTTCAGCATACATAAAGATAAAGACAGCTACTACAAAGACCATGAGACATTATGGTAGTCATTATCGACTTCCCCCAAATCAGTCTTGAAGATCAAAAAAGCTTGCATCATCCTGTAATTATTTGATTAGTTCTATAATATTCAGTATATATTCAATGTGTGTGAGGATGGGAACAACTATTTGGAAAAAAACTAGAGACAGTAAAATAGACAGTGAACATTTCCAGTGGACTTGCTTTGAAATCTGTGTTTCCTTAACTTGTTTCCTTATGAACTGTTTTGCTCTGTTTTGCTATGTTTAATCTTACCCTCTTTAAGAAAAAAAAGTGTGTAGGACAGATAGGCATATTAATAACTTTTTGGTGGATCATTGAGGTGAACCGTGACAGTGTCATTATTTGAATATCACTTTGTATGCTTTAAATTTGTAACTTGAACAACTACTTCTAAGATGACAATATAATACTAATCATCTAGTGATTTCTTATGGTTTATTTTTCTGATATTCTGTATTATTTCTACACTTTTTTTTCTCTTTAAATAAACAACATTACAATTCAGAAAATACAAAATTTAAGTTTTAAAGACAAAATATTAAGTATGGAGGCACTATCCATACTTGAAAGTGAAAAGCCCATTTCAGTTTAGCATGTTTAATTACAAGATGCCATGTTGAAGCACAAAAACATCTAGATTAATAAATCTAGAGAGGTACAAGTGATTAACTGAAAACCATACAACATGTGCACCTAAGGAGAGCCCCACCATAGATTTGTCATTTCTGGAATATTTGTGAAGAAATATTGACATCTAACTTCTGTATCGATTATTTCTTCAGGTCTCCTTGGGATTTTTAAAGTAAACTTAGATCTAAACTGTCTGAACAGTAATGCTTTTTCTATGTATTTAACAAGAAACATGGATTGCTATATTTCTCACATTGGTAATCCACATATCATCTCTGCCTAGTGAGCTCTTTCAGATATGTAACAATGATCAAGTATGCTGAGAGTATTCCCATAACACAAAGGGTTTATCTCTTGTGTGAGTTTTTTTCATGTATTTCCCTTACAATCTGGCTGCTGAAAGTGTCTCCACTTGCTTACATAGCCAGTGCTTCTTCCCAGTGTGAATTCTTTCATGTGTTTTGCAATGACTATATGCAGTAAAAGCTTGGTCACATTGTTATACACATAGGCTTTCTCACCAGTGTGAAGTCATAGATGTTTTTTACAAAAACTATGTGTGGTGAAAGCTTTCCCACATTCTTCACATACACACAGGGTTTCTCAACCATGCAAATTTTATAATGTATTGGACAATGAACATTTCTGGAGAATCCTTTCCCACATTCCTAACATATGTAAGTTTTCTGCCCAGTGTGAAGATTTTCATGCATTATGCAATACATACCTGTACTGAAACCATTCTCATGATGCCTATATACACTGGTTTTATATTGAATGTGAACTTTCATGTTTCTTAAAATCTCCCTGTGTTTTAAAAGCTTTCCCACATTGATTACACACATATGGTTTCTCTCCAGTGTGAATTCTTTCATGAACCTTACAATTTGCACGTGTGTTAAAAGCTTTCCCACATTGCTTACATACATATGGTTTCTCTCCAGTGTGAATTCTTTCATGTTCCTTACAACGTCCAGGTCTGGTAAAAGCTTTCCCACATTGCTTACATACATACGGTTTCTCTCCAGTGTGAATTCTTTCATGAACCTTACAATGTGCACGTGTGTTAAAAACTTTCCCATATTGCTTACATGCATATAGTTTCTCTCCAGTGTGAATTCTTTCATGTTCCTTACAACGATCAGGTCTGGTAAAAGCTTTCCCACATTGCTTACATACATAGGTTTTCTCTCCAGTGTGAATTCTTTCATGTTCCTTACAATGATCAGGTCTGGTAAAAGCTTTCCCACATTGCTTACATACATAGGGTTTCTCTCCAGTGTGAATTCTTTCATGAACCTTACAATTTGCACGTGTGTTAAAAGCTTTCCCACATTGCTTACATACATAGGGTTTCTCTCCAGTGTGAATTCTTTCATGTTGCTTACAGTATCCCCATGTGTTAAAATCTTTCCCACATTGCTTACATACATATGGTTTCTCTCCAGTGTGAATTCTTTCATGTTCCTTACAAAATCCAGGTCTGGTAAAAGCTTTCCCACATTGCTTACATACATAGGGTTTCTCTCCAGTGTGAATTCTTTCATGTTCCTTACAAAATCGAGGTCTGGTAAAAGCTTTCCCACATTGCTTACATACATAGGGTTTCTCTCCAGTGTGAATTTTTTCATGTATTTTACAGTTTGTCTGTGTGTTAAAAGCTTTTCCACATTGCTTACATACATATGGTTTCTCTCCAGTGTGAATTCTTTCATGTTCCTTACAATGTCCAGGTCTGGTAAAAGCTTTCCCACATTGCTTACATACATAGGGTTTATCTCCAGTGTGAATTCTTTCATGAACCTTACAATTTGCACGTGTGTTAAAAGCTTTCCCACATTGCTTACATACGTAGGGTTTCTCTCCAGTGTGAATTAATTCATGTTGCTTACAGTATCCCCATGTGTTAAAAGCTTTCCCACACTCCTTACATACATATGGTTTCTCTCCAGTGTGAATTCTTTCATGAACCTTACAACTTGCACGTATGTTAAAAGCTTTCCCACATTGCTTACATACATATGGTTTATCTCCAGTGTGAATTCTTTCATGTTGCTTACAACATTCAGGTCTGGTAAAAGCTGTCCCACATTGCTTACATACATATGGTTTCTCTCCAGTGTGAATTCTTTCATGTGCCTTACAACGTCGAGGTCTGGTAAAAGCTTTCCCACATTGCTTACATACATAGGGTTTCTCTCCACTGCAATATTTTTCATGGATCTGAACATCGTGGTGTGTTTCTGTTTCTTTCACATTCACATTACCTTCTGCATTACAAAGAAATACTTCTTTACACTGCTTCCAAGATGTATGTCCATAAGATTTCCCTAGCTTGTCATTTCTGGAAAGAAAAAATCACACATAGGATTTATAACCATATTACTAAGCTTTTTTTGAGAGTTGAGCAAATCTGTTTGCAGTCTCATTGTTTGAATCCCCACTTGATATGTTTCACTTTTGTATTTCATGACTATTTCTATGATCACCATTCGTAATCATCATCTTGCTATTGGTTACTGTTTTTTTTTCACTTTGAATGCAGTATTATTTCTACTTATTTTGTCTTATTTAATCTTTCCTTATATTAAATTTTAAAAAAGAAAAATTCACTGTGAAATTGGTCTCCGTTTAATGACTGCATTAATATCAAGTTCTGTTTTTAATGCCTGCTAAGAAATTCTGACCAAGAAGCAACAGAATGGCCTTGTAAGATATGTTGAAAACAACCATTCCCAAAAGACTGGTACACATTTGGAAATCTTAAAAGTTGGTAGTTTGAAATGCATAATCTTTACCTTCACTTTGGGAATGGGTACATATATGTATCACATGCAGATTATTCTCATATGTTTCCCGATCACAATCTTCCTTCTGTCCTTAATTTGTAGTTCCCTTTTCCATCTGGTCAGTCTTACTTTTCTCTAACAACCCTGTTTCATTTCTTTCCACATTTTGTATTTTGGTTTCTCCTCTAAAAGAAAGCCAGTGACCTTTTAGGTTTTATAGCTGAGTTATATCACTGAATTGATGGGTGAAAGACCCATCTAATTCTTATGGCAAATGACATTATATTATTTATTTTTTGACATTATATAACACATTTTTTCCATTCTGGGCTGGGAATGAGCAACAGATATTAGCATAAATCTATAGCTTTTTAAAAATCTATTTTAAGAGATTTTCATAGATCATTAAGCTGTGAAGTTTGAACTTGAAATTGCCATTCTGCAAACAGATTTGCAAACCCTAGTGTCCTACGTTTACAAGAATGTAAAATCCAGAGAGTCTATTAAAATTTTCCTTCTCCACAAATCCAGTGATAGATAGATAAGCTTCAAGGCCTGATCTGTCATAACTTGATCTGCTTTGTATATGACTAAGCATGTATCAGTATTTTATGCAGATTTTGAGATTTTAAAAATATCCAGGACAAGTATGAGGGGATCAATTTCTAGAGCCAACTGCATACTGATATTCAAAATGAGTGCACTAACATTCCACCAGCCTACTAATAATATTAGTCAGAATCGCCGATTGTCTAGAGCATGGCTTGGAAACATGAGCACTCAGTTTTATTTCACATTCTATTGCAATCTTAACAATTGTTAGATAATGAAAGTGTTGTATTCACATGTATATATGGGTAGAAAAACTGAAGGCAGAATGTCATAACTCAAAGTGCATGCCTTTCGTACAGACCTATATGCAATGTCATACATTTTCATGATTTAATTCCCTCATATATACACTAGCTTATACATCTTTGGAGAATATTACTGACATTAAATTGAATGGTGCCTCATTTCTTTGGTGGTCATTTTTCTGCTGACTCACTAATTACTCAAGAACATTCCTCTCCTTGTGAGTGTGAATTACCTTAAGTATCTCCAGTAAATTTTGCATTCTTTTTCAGCTTCCTGGATATCCCCAAGTCCTCCTGAATTGTAGACATAGAAATACCAGGACTCAGTTGAGTAATACATACAAATTAATAGATTTGGTTTAGATTTATGATATAATGTGTCCAGGTCTGAGCTATTTTTAAAAATATTTTCATATTCTTTTTAACAAAACAGCACTAATGAGCAGCAAACAATATTCTGACAGCATGAGTGCCAAAACAGATTTCATCCTTACCTATTGCAGCCATGTTCCTAAAGATTTCACCCATCACATCTCTGTAGAGGTTCTTTTGGGATGGACTCAGCAAACTCCACTCCTCATTGCTGAAGTTCACAGCCACATCCTCAAAGATCACCGCCTCCTAAAGGATCATACATAAATTTCTCAAAGGAAGCTTGAGACCCCAGGTTTGCGATATCTTAAATTCTCTCCTACAAATCTGAATCAAAAGCAAAGTGTGGTGGTGCATATCTATAATCCCAGCACTCAAAAGGCGAGACAGGAAGGCATGAGTGAGGTCAGGCCAATTCTAGGCTCTATAGGGTGTTCAAACACAGCTGATATACATACAGAAAGCTTGTCTCAGTAAAACAAAACTAAACTCAACAAATAAAGCCAAACAAAACAGCTGAATGAAGACTGATTTGTTCAAGTTTAAATCTATGCCTTGGTCGTTAATTTTGTGTCTATATACATTTTTGAAGACAGCAAATTTGATACTAGATTGCAACTCACTGCTAATATAACAGCCAAATAGGAGCACTGATTCTTGTGCTGAGTCATGGCAAGATTCCCTGTGCTCTTTCTCTAAAGCAGAGCTCACAGTGAGAAGCTTGCAGCACCAGCAACCACAAAGCACAGAGGCAGATAAATGTCTCATCAATTTCCTTGGAAGCCAAGCAAGCACCTCCCCTCTGTAGTCAGTGGTGGCAGTCTGGAAAACTGCAGCCCTTCCAGGGGGATAACCAGCAGCAGCTCCTAAGATCAGTTCTATGTTGGAACTTAGGGCGCTGTGAAACCAAACAACCAGCCTGTCTCCATAGTAAGCAACACTGAACCTACTGATGCACCACCTAGAATCAAACATCCCACTTCCCTACCCCTCTTCTCCTGTCACCCCACATTAGCAAATGGGAACCAGAAATCTGAGCATCTCCTGGGAAGTAGACCATAGCAAATAAGGGGGACTTCCTTCTACTATCTCCTTGAAGGAAAACGTTTTTATTATTGTTTCACTCTATTCTGATTAATGGTACTGCTCAATTCAATATTCTGTTTTGATAAGTTCTATAATGTTCTGCATTTCATCTCATTTTGATATATGTGATTAAAGAACAACTATGATAAAGATAACAAAATATACTGTGATACATATTACTGTTATCCCAGTAACCTGTTGTGAAGTTGTGTAACAATTTCACTGTGTGATCTTAGTTGACCTTAAGCTGCCTTGTTCTGTTCTATGTTACCAATTTCAAAATTAAATAAAAAATCTCCGTAATCACTTTGATAGACTACAGATGATGTCTGTTCAAATCTCATTTAGGCCAATGAGTACTTTGTTCTTAATATACTTAAGCAAAATTTTGAAACATGAATTTGGTTTCATAGAACAAAACATAAATAACATCAAATATGGTATATAAATAATAACTCAAGTGTTAGTGGAAAACAGCTGTATTTTAAAAATATGTATATAAAATGAAACCAGGCCCAAGCTGTAAATTAAACATCACTGTCACCAAGTGATCACTTTCAATTCACATATAAGAAATATATCTTGAGAGGCTGGTGAAGGATTTCTTCCTTGAATTTGGGGTTTTCCTAACTTACAGAGCTGTCTAAAATAGAAAACCCTGATTGAGACACCGCACAGACAAAGTGAAACTTAAAAAGAGACTGCATAACACACCTTTGGTTAGTTTTAAAAAAAAATATAGCCACACAATACAGAAAAATTCCAACAATGTTCAACACTTTCTCAGAAACAATGTGGATATCGTCCATACTACACAGAAAATATTTTCATAGTTGCGTATTTAGCTCAGTGTCATGAACACCTGCCTGGAAAGCATAGGTCATGCGTTTGATCCTTGGTACAAAAGAATTGAAAATTTCAGCTTCATGACAATGGGGCATAATTAGAGATAATCAAATTAGATCTCAAGTATGGAACACAAAAATTATGGGTTGACAGGGATGTGGAATACTGATTGTTGCCAGAGCTGGTGTTGATCACCTCAATGAAGCAATCAGAACCCAATTTTACTTCACATTTACTCTAAGAACTACCTGACTTTCAGTGAAGACGCTCTCTGTTGTATGTCCTGCTATTTGCTGCCTGCATCCTGTCAGCCACTTCCACATCTTTTCCACACTCCTCTGATCCATCCTAAGCAGAAAACCCTTCATGCCTAACTATCGATATCACTGCAAAATTTCTATTTAGGGCTTCTCATTTACACCACTTAGATAAGTCCATTGTAGAGAATTTCCATATTTAAACTGTCTATTAACCAAGCTACTAAATCAGCTCTTAATTCAGAGGGGACACCCCTATTCCTTTCCATTCAGAAGGGTATCACGTGTATATGACCATGCAAATGTGTAAATTTTGGCATTTTTCGATGAGAATTTAACAAGTAGCCCTTTCTGGAATTTGTCCTTCACAAATTTTACCCCGTCCTTGATAACACTTTCATATTTACTTCATTTTTCTCAGACTTCAAAACTCTATGGCTGTTCTCACAAACCTAGTCTGTGAGCAAGGGTGCCACCTAAATAATTAAGTATGTTCAGAAATTATTTTGCACTGATCTGTATAATACACAGGAGTTCACCAGTTGTTTGGGAAGCCTTTCTCCGCTGAGGCACAGTACTACATATCTCTGAATTCTCAGACCTTTGTCACTACCTGTCATGAAGATGGAAATAGGAGAACATACTAT